TCAATTGGTAACAATGAAAATACGTCCTATATCAGATATTTACATTGTGATTTATAACAGTAGCAAAATTGCAGTTATGAAGTCGTAATGAAAATAATTTTGGTTTAGATTTTTTCCCCCTCACTTTTATTGGGGCTCTTACACCTCTTATCACAATCCATACATTCATCCAGTGTGTCAAGCACATTTGCACAATGCCGCCATCATCATTTTCAAAGCATTCTCTTCCCACTTGAGCCCCTGATATCAGCTCCCCATTTCTTCCCCCTCCTTTCCCTGCCTGCCCTCCCTCACGAACCCTTGATAAGTTTTAGATTATTATTTTCATATCTTACATCATCCTCCATCGCTCCTCACCCACTTTTCCATTATTCTTCCCCCCTGGGAGGGGGTTATAGATTGATCCTTGTGATTAATCCCCCCTTTTTTTCTCCCCACCCTCCCCTAATCCTCCTGGTATCTTTACTCTCATTGTTGACCCTGAAGGGTTTATCTATCCTGGATTCCCTGTGTTGCGGGCTCTTATCTGTAGCAATGTGCATGTTATGGTCTAATCCAATTCGTAAGGCAAAATTGAGGTCATGATAGTGGGGGGAGGGGGAGGAAGCATTAAAGAAATATAGGAAAATTGTGTATTTTATCGGTGCTATACTGCACCCTGACTAGCTCATCTTTTCCCTGTGACCCCTCTGTGAGGGGATGTCCAATTGTCTACAGATGGGCATTGGGTCTTCACTGCATGCACCACCACCCCTGTTCACATTGAGTATGATTTTGTTCTGGGTCTTAGATACCCGATACCTGATCCCATTAACACCTCGTGATCACACAGGCTGGTGTGCTTCTTCTGACTTCATAGGCTTTTTAAGACTGTAAATCTTTGTGGGAGTAGATAGTTTTATCTTTCTCCTGAAGAGAAGCTGATGGATTTGAACCATCAACTTTGTTTTTAGCCAACCAAATGCTTTACCAACTGCACCATCAGGACTCCTTAGCATGAACTCACTGCTCCCTAAAATTCTTATCTAATCTTTTGAGTTGCTGTTGTCCTTCTTTTTCTCGCAGAGAGATAGTTCTTAAAAGGGCATAGGGCACAACTTTTTTTCGTTAAATTAAACAAATACTTAGTTTTAAGATTACTTCAGGGAATATTTCTTATTCAAGGTATAAAGATTATCTCAGGGCAATAGTATCAGGGATTCATTCACTTTTCAGATGTCAAAACATTTAGAGTCCATGAGAATTTGAAATTTTGCTCTGTATCTTCCCACTTTTGATCAAGATCCATCATAGAATATTTGATCAAAATGATTAGTCACGGTACATGATCCTACTTGATACCCTCATGAAGAGATCATTGAAGAAATAGGTACTATATCAAAGTGTGGCAAAGAAACTAGAAGGTGCCCATACATCAAAAAAATAGTATGTGGGGTCTTAAAGGGCTTAAAAAGCAAGCATTCAGTCATCGAAATGAGGTGTCACCTAATTTCACATAGAAGAAACATACCAGCCTGTGTGATCCAAGATTTATAAATAATATAATACACATCTAAAGGAGGGAATAGTATCGGGGCTTAACTGTGAACACCTGGTTTGCAGAAGGTTGTGGATGACAGTGGAAGCCCAAAATTCATTTGCAGGGTCCGCACATAGATTAAGTCTGTGGTGAATGCCCCCCAAGCACAGTCGAAGGGTGTGCGTCTCCTGGCTATCATGCAGAGGGCATTGCAAAGTGGATCAAGGCAGATGCTGTTAGATTAAAATTTGACACCTTGTCATTGATCTCCCTTTTAGCTCTACTTTTGAATTTTCTCCAAATTTTAAATTTTCTCTACTTTCGAATGTTTTCTTTCTTTTCTATTAAAATTTTTCTCATTTTGTTTTTATTCTTAGTTTTTTAAAAGCGTTTTTCTGTATATGAGATTCAGGATAGGTAAATGTATAGAGACAGTGACTGGATTCATGGTTCCTTGGGTGTATGATAGGGAAGGTTGGGGAGAAATTGGGAACTAATAACAAGAAGTACAAGAAGGAAGAACACATTCTAAAATTAATTGTGGTAATGATTGTACAATTCTTCCTGATATGATGAAACTATTTAATTGAATGGTATGTGGATTATGTACCAATTAAACTGTTTTAAAAGAAAAAAATTTGTCATGATAGCTCGACACCATTCAGTTCTTCCTGTCTCATGGCACAGGAAGCATTTGTTCACAGTGGCTATTAGCCATAAGTTCCATGTTATCCTTCCATTTCTGACACTCTTTCTTACTTTTGCTCCAGGTGAATAGAGGCAGATTGTTGTGTTTGGATAACGACTTGTAATCTTTTCAGACCATGGGCACAACACAAGGAAGTTGGAGGTATAACAGATACATTAAACATTTTATAGCTCAATTAACTGTGATGTCCCATGAAACCATGACCCTAAACCTCCACACCAAAGTACAAAATCATATCAATTGTTTGGTCATACATTTATATATACATTCAGCAAATACTCTTTTTTCTGTTATTGTCATTGTAAATACAGCACATAACTTTTGTCTATCAACTTTTTAAACATATACAACTTATTGGCAGCAACTGAAATAATTAGATGTGTAACTCCATACTTGATCAATGCAATTTATCAATCATTGTTAATCTTCTTATTTCCTTTCCTGCCTGTTCCCTAGTAACCACTATCTAACATTGGCCTCTATATACCTTTTCTATTATTTTTATATATGTGAGGTCATACCATGCTTATCCTTTTCTTACTGGTTTATTTTGCTCCCCATAATGTGCTCAAGTTCCATCCGTACTATAGCAAGTATCAAGACATCATTTCTTCTGCTGAATAATAGTTTTCCATTGTATGTATTTATTGTATTTGGCTTATCCTTTCATTAGTTGCTGAGTATGAAAGTTGCTTCCAGTTTTTGGCTTTGTGAATTGTGTTGAAATGAACATTTGTGCAGAAGTCTCTGTTTGAGTCTCTGCTTTCAAATCTTTGTGGTATGCACCTAGCAGTGGAATTTCCGGGACATATAATAGTTCTGTTTTTCATTCTTTAAGGAACTGCTACACTATGTTCCACAATGGCTACGTGAATTTGCTTTCCCACAAGCAATGGATAAGGATCCCAATTTCCCCACAACCTCACCAACATTTCTTGCTTTATTTTGTTCCGCTTTGTTTTAATCTTAGCCCTCCCAGTGGTAGTGAACCGGTAACCACTGTGGTTTTGAATTGGATTTCTCAGATGTTTAATGACACCGAGCGTCTTTTCAAGGGTTTGGTGGCCAATTAAATGTCCTCTTTGGTGAAATGTCTATTCTAGCCCTTATCCCTCCTTATGAATGTCTTGTCTTTTTGTTGTAAAGTTGTCCATCTAACATATTGGTTATTCAATTCTTCTTAGATATATAGTTTCTGAAGGTACTCTCCTATAAGTAGCTTATCATTTCATGTTTTTGTAAGTCTTTTTCAACAAAACTAAAAAATTTTTATGTGATCTCGTTTAGTCGTCTTTTGCGGTTTTTGCTTCTTGTTATATTAGATCTGTGGTTCTCCACCTTCCTAAGACCACGACCCTTTAATACAGTTCCTCGTGTTGTGGTGACCCCCGCCAACCTTAAAATCATCTTTGTTGCTATTTCATAACTGTAATTTTGCTACTGTTATGAATCAGGCAACCCCTGTGAAAGGGTCGTTTGACCCCCAAAGGTTGAGAACCGCTGCATTAGATAATCCATTCTTGAAAGGTCGACTGGACAGTATTGTACATGCTTTCATGTCTCCATAGTTTGCACATTTAGATTCTACCAATAGGACCATAATATTCACGAGTAGAGATTCTTATATTTCTTCTTCCCAACCTAGATGCTTTTGTTTCAATTTCTTTGGCTGGGATTTCTAGTGCAATATTGAGTAGATGTTCTGAGAATATGTACTCTTCCAGGTCTCAGTCTTTCTCCATTAAATGTAACATTGGCTACTGGCTTTTCATATAGGCCCTGAATCACAGGAAGAATTTCCTTTATATCTCGATCTTTACGGTTTTCATCAAGAAAGGGTGTGGCATAACCAGCACTATGCCACTCAGGCTCCTTAGCCTTACTTTTAACAAAGAGTTCTGGTGGTGTCGTAGTTTAGACATCTGAACCCACCAGTTAGTCACTCTATGGAAGGGCATGGCAGTCTGCTTCCATAGGAGTTCAGTCTTGGAACCCTTTGGTTCTGCTGTCTCCTAGGGCTGCTCTCAGTCGAAGTTGAGTCATCAGTGGTGGGTTTGATTTGGGATTTGCTCAAGTGTAGAAAAGGCTCAAAGCCTGTTCAGGGATTTAAAAGGAACATGTGCAGGAGGTGAAGATGACTGTGAAAAAGGGATTGATGTTGGTTCAAGAGCCCAATTGGCACCATGGGTTAAGTATTGGGCTGCAAATGAAAAGGTTGGTGGTTAGGAACCACCAGCCATTCTTTGGGAGAAAAATGAGGCAGCCTGCTCCCATAAAGATGTATACTCTCAGAAGCCCTGGGGAAGCAGTTCTACCTGATTGCACAGGGTTGCTATGAGTTAGAATCTACTTGACAATGGTGGGTTTGGAAGAGTTGGCTCACTAGGTTCAAAACTCAGGCAAATTGATCAAGATTTGCTTTGTGATTTAAACTGTGATCTATCTGGAGTAGTCCATTTTCCTCTATAGTTTTTTTCATGTTAAACTGTATCTTATATATGTCCACCCTGCCCAGGATTAATTTAGATGGAGTAATAGCTACAAACCTAAAGAGTATTTGTAGAACACAGACTATCTGACCGGGGACGATTTTCAACCCTTGTCATGAGTATGTGTAATTTCCAATAATCGAGAGAAATAGTTAGGAAACATGTTGTAGAATCAAACCATCATAGTGAAATGTCAAATGTTATAGTCTTATAAAGGGAAACATTACTGGTGAGAGAATGATTTTAAAAATCCACTGTATTCAAGTTCAAAGAGCTAACTCACCTCTACCCCATTCAGGAGATGCCGGAACTCAGGGCAGATGAAGGCACTGCCTGCATAGGCCGCATCAATGTGCAGCCACATGTTCTCTTTGTTACCTGGAAGTCAGACACCACATGTCAGTTCTGAAGCAGCGCACTGCTCATCTGGAGTCTGATACCCACCACCCCTTCCCCAACATCCTTCTTGCCAATTGTAAATGACTAGGTCCCTAGAAAGACTCCTTTCATCTGAAGGCAATGAAATGGAGGGCAGGGTTGTGTCTCGCTGTTCCCGGTTGTTGGGAAATGACTGGAATGGAATTAATTGCACCCTTTGATGTTCAGTGCTTATCCCCATGGTCCTGTATACCTTTAATTCATACTCTAACCCATCTTGCTCACTGAACCATGTATTATTCCAGCTACACTACAATTTTCAGTCCTTCCCACTCCACCTAGAATCTGATTCTCTGATTCCACCCCCCTCACCCTGAACCCCGATTCTCTTAGCTCAGGTATTCTAAAAGTGCCTGTTCACACATCTATTTGGAGGAAGCGTTAGGTACGTTGTCAACATTGACCAGGACAGTCTACCACAGCCCACGCACTGTTCTTACTGTCAAGTGGTTAGCCATGGAATTGTACCCTCTTGAATCCTCTGCTCTTGCCAAACCTATGGCTTTTTGTTTTCCAAGCATATTGTAACAGCTTTACTCTGGAGATGGGATAGTCTCCAAATTAACTGTGCTTCCTCATTTCAGACCTAACTTGGGATTTAGCCCCTGCCTCCCTGTACTTAGCAAGCATAGGCCTTTATCTGCCTCCTCCATTGCTTATGTTCCTCCTAGGAAAAACAGAGATGAAAAGGGTACCTATGACTATGAGCACTGAGTAATACGGTGCTCATAATGTGCCTAACACAGAACCTAGCATAGAGCTAGTGAGAAATAAGGTGATTGTTTCCCCAGGCACAAGAAGGGCTGCGGAACATATAGCAATTAAAATTTTAAATATCTCAACACTGAAGGGACCATCCTTTCTTCTTGTAGAAAAAGATTCTGAACTTTGGAGCCCTGTGCTAAGGACACTCAGTGGTTGGTATCTACATCAGCCCCTGCCAAATACTACAAGGGGGATTCAAAAAGTAGAAAAATTATATTATCTTTTCATCCCATTTCCATTAATTTTTGAATGTCTTTTGTGTATTCAATAGATAGATGATTCATCACTCACTTTTTCATACATGATGCTTGTTAACCAGTGTGGAAGAATTTAAAAGGGGCATGTGATTCTGAGCTGTACAGATAAAATATGCAAAAGGTACTTTAATTTGATGTTCAGGAATGGAGGAATTAAGCCCTTAATGAGGTAAAGATTATATGTGTTCAAAGATAGGGGATATGGCTGTGCCAGGTCTTAGTGGGGGCTGAGTAACCTAAGCATATGCCATGGAGAAAGATTATCAAGGAATACATCATCCACGTGGACTCAGTTATCACTGGGGCTCTCATAATCCCAAATGGATGAAACCATAAGCACAAAGATTTAGGACACATGTGGGCATCACCCTGAGTTCTTACTGGGAAATGATGGGACAAAGTCATTGCTGTGTCTCAGAGACAACATAGAGTCAACAGAATCTTCTGATTCCCTTGTAAGAGGTGTGTAACATTTCAAAGAAAAGTAATGTTTTCTTTGTGGTGATTTGGACTGCTTCTGGTAGTTAATGGTGCTTGGTAGATACCAGTCGGGTAATAGTCCATTCAGGACTGGTGAATGAGGGAGAAGGGAAGAGTAAGTTATGCGTCAGGGTAGACCTAAGTCATGAGTATGGGATCAATGGTCGGAACCTAGAAGAACCTAGGCAGTCTTTCATCCGTTTATTTTCTCCCTCATCACTACCACCTTTGTGAGGAAAGAATGTCCAGTAGTGTGTCACACCACAGTGATTTCTGTGTGGCTATGATGCTGAAACTGTGCCACTGGCATTTCAAATACCTGAAGGGTCACCCATGGTGGGCAAGTTTTAACAGAGCTTCCAGACTAAGACAGACTAAAAAGAAAGGCCTGACTTTTGCAAATGAGCCAAGGATAGCCCTTTGTATCACAACAGGATGTTTTCCATTGTAGGGCTAGAAGATGGGCTCCCTGCATTGGAAGACACTCAAAATACCCAGATGGGCTTGAGCATACTACGAGTGGTGAAGATGACACAGGAGCTATTCATGTTTTATTCATGTATTCATATGATCACCACAAGTTGCAGCTGGCACACAGTAATTAAAAACTAGCCGCCACCATTGAGTAGGAGAAAGACGGGGCTTTCTACTCCTGTAAAGTCTCAGAAACGCACAGGGGCATTTCCCATACTCTCATGAGGAGTCCACATCGACTCAATGGCAGCAAGTTTGGGTTTTTTGGACCACCATTGGGTGGAGGGAATGTTGGATCATTGAGCACCACAACACACCGTAGATCTGAGTCTCTGTCAGGGCCCACCTCAGAGAGAGAAGCTGACCCTGAGCTCCCGGATGAGGCCAAGATAAGGTCAACACTTCAGGGCTCTGCCCCTGCTGAAAATCAGGGAAAATAAGAGACCCAGAAGAGTCAGTGCATGATAAAGGACCAAGTGGCCTTATGAGAGCCAGCAAAGCAGGATCTCAGACCTTGCAGATGTCCCCTGATGTGCTTCACAGGGTGTACCTTATTACAGCAGAAGCCATCGCCAGCAGTCTCACTCTATACTTTGTGCCTAGCAGAGTATAAGAATCTCCCTTTTTGTATTTCATCCTCTAACTAAAATCAGACAAGCAAATTAAGCCAAGTGTCCAATTTACACAGTTCCTCTGGAAAACCATAATAAAAGATGCAGGGAGTGGTGGTGGTGGGAGGCAGTGCAGATATATTTTCTAAAGAAGTGATTTGTAGAAAACCACCCCCTGGTATATTTTCTTTGTAAAATAATCATGGGTGAAAGTTCTTACGAATCCATTATGGATTGTTACTGTAGGAACCCTATTGGTATAGTTGAGCCGGGAACAACATGGTCAGCAGTTCAAAACCATCAGCAGCTCCTCAAAAGAAAGACTGGGCTTTGTACTCCTATAAACAGTTTTAGTTGCAGAAGCCCACAGGGAGTTGCTATGAGTCAGCATTGACTCAAATGGTAGTGAATTGAGTTTATAGAACATGGTCAGCTCAGGATGTCTGCTTCAGTTTGAATTGGAAGAAGGCTAAATATTCGGTAACAGTCACATAAATGGTATCAATGGAGAAAGTAGATTTTAAAAGGTGCTTACTGAAGTGTTATGGTACTTTCAATAATCCTTTAGAGGGTGGTCAGTGATCAAAATTAATATCAGTTGTAGACTCTACGAGTAAATGAAAGGGTTTTGACATTTGTCTCTGTCAAATCCCTTAGCAAGTACCAAAACACCCTCAGTGTTTGACATCAAAGGCATTACAAACCAAGGTTTGCCACAGTCCCCAGACCTAGTAAAGCAGAAGAGGGGCCAGTAAAGCAGAATCTTGTTCCTTCAAGAAGACCCAGAATCCTTAGAGATGTCTGATAACTATCACCTCCCTGCCTTTCCAATGAGTAGACAGTACGTGCTCAGGGACAACAGGGGGAGTGTGGTCTCTGTCCTACAGAAGACCTCGGCACATTAATTACATCCAAGAGCCTGGGGAATTGCATCAGCTGAGTGCCAGCCAGGACATTCAGTTCTTAACGTAGCATCTGAGTCAGGGAGAACTCAGAACTGTTTGGCAGAGCTGATGGGGATTTGCAGCTAACGAGGCCTACATCGTGGCCACAGTCCTGTGTTGGCTATCCCCATCCTTCCTGCAGGCCTGGCCAAGCACCATTATTTCAGCCAGTTTTTCTTACAAACATCTGCCACTGGCCTTCGATAGTAGAGTGAAAGTGTGTGTGAACTGGCAAGTGCACCCACACCCACTGCTGGGAAGCAAAGCACACCTAGGGCACAGAAACAATGTACCAAATTTTGCTTAGCACTCTTTTCATGCATTGTTTTACCCTTAGAGCTGTTGTGTTCTCTCCTTTTTATAGAAAAATGAAGCTCCAAGACCTTAAAGCACACAGTCTTAAGTGGTAGGTTTGAACATGGCCATACCTACTCGGCCAGCAGAGAGTGCCGTGCTCAGCTCACACCAGCACACTGCTACCTCTAAGGGTAGTAGGTTTGGGCTCAGTAGACGAGAGCCCATAGCTCTGAGCCTGGTCTCCAAGAGATGACTTAGTTAGGAGCAGTGAGAACAGACTCCGATTTTTGGATCCGCTATTGAGAACTATTTGCAGACTGTGCACAAGGCCACAGACATGGTCATAAGGGGTCAGGCAGCCTTAATTAACAGCTGATCTTCCTGGTGGTGAACCAGAAGCTGGTACGTCCAAAGAACCAACCCCATGCTCACTCATCAGAGATGCCCTAGGGCTTCCATGTTAGGAGTGACACAGAGAAGGAAAGTGCCATTTCCCTCACGAGTTCTTCCATCCACAGAAATGCCCCGGGTCCTACTACGTTTTCAGAGCCCCTGTGAAAGGTGAACATTTTAGAAATCCAGTAAAAGTGATCGGTTCAGTTTCACCTTTTGAAAACACAAAAGTGTTCTCGTCTCTTTGAGAAAATCTAAATGCTTTTACTGAGGGAGAAACAAGGTAAGACCCCATAAACAATGTGAATTGACAGAAGGCCTTTTGGAGAAATTTATTTTTATTTTGTTGGGATGTTTAATTACCTTAAATAATTTTCAAGTTAAAAAGAATAGGCTATATTTAAGCATAAACAATTCCTACACCATCATGTACTTTATTCTACAGTTTTGGAAATTTTGTCTTTCTCAGGAGAAATAACATATCTGTGCTATTTTATGCTATTGTTAAATTGTTGAAAGTTTTTTTCTTATAAATAGTGTGTTGGCATATAGCTAAGCTCAGGAGCTCCTGGGAGGTGCAAATGGTTAGTGCGTTTAGCTGGTAACCAAACAATTGGAAGTATGAATCCATGTGGAGGTGTCTTAGAAAAAAGGCCTCCTGGTCTCCATCAGAAAAAAGCCAACCAGGGAAAGCCCTATGCAGCACCATTCCACTCTAACATACATAGGGTTACTGTTAATCAGCGTGTACTCAATGTCAACTGAAAGAAACTCCAAAATAGACGTCAGCTCCTGTCCAATTTGTCCAAATTCCTAGCCTGTGGGGGTCGAGCAAAGTGCTTGTTACTGCAAAAAACAACACAAGTTTGCCAGATCGTCACTATACTAATTTAATGGGGAGGAGGATATAAGCCTGAAGAGGAGATCTGTTAAATTCCCTAACTGAGATATATATATATACCAGGATACTTACAGATAGGACCCACTTCTAATAGATTATCAAAAGAGCAGCAAGATGTGGTCCCCAATGTAGCAACCACCTGGAGAGGAAAAGCAGACACACTTTTAATGCCCACGCATTGCCACAACCTCCATACACACCGCCACCGAACAGGGTGTCACAGCGTCTAGAGCATCATGCACCATGAGCATCTTTTGCATGAAGACATAAGCCTATCCGTATGCATTTCATTTTGGAGTGAAAAAAGCATCAAAGTATGTTTTTAAAAAAAGATTTTCAGAGGGAGAACTCAGTTGTGAAGTTACAAACTTAATTTGTAAGAGATTTTTCACCATGCTTAGAAAGAAATGAAACACTTGACCATATCATTTATATTGGCTATTCTTTCCTTCTATTTTACTAATGATAAGAGTATATATGAGCCATGGTGCTGTAGTGGTTATGTGTTGGGCTGCAATCTGAATGGACGGGAGTTCGAACCACCAGCATCTCCACACGAGAAAGACTTGGCTTTCTGCTGCCATAAACCGTTACAGTCTCAGAAACCCACACGGGGTTACTATGACTCAGCACTGACTCAATGGAAGTGTGGTTTTTGGGGTTTTGTTTTGTTGGTATAAACATATGTATTGAACATAAGAATGTCACTCATTTGCTTGGCTCTGCTACCTTTCTCTTTCTAAATAACACTGCTCCTCAAAATTACAATAATCCTTAAAGGAGGGAAATTTGTTCTTGTAAGGGGAAAAATGAGAAAGCAATACTGACTCTGAATGCAAGTCTTCCAAGAGAACATTGAATGCTGCAAAACTAGAAAAACTGGGTCATAATTCATCATGCGTCCCCAGTTCCCAGAGCACCTGGCAGTGCAATGGCAAATTGTGTTCATTGGATTCCCATAGGTCAACCTCATCCACTAGACTGAAGGTGTTCTTGAAGCCAGGTTATCTGTCATGTTTATCTTTGCATTGCTAGAAACTAACACTTTGCTATACAGAGAAGAAGTGCAGAAATACATTTGTTGAATTAAAACACTCCAAATGAGCAAATGAAGGGGGAGGAAGAGATAATGGAGCACATACTGGCCTACCAAGCCCTGAGAACTATATTCCTGCTTAGAGCAGCCATGCACCATAGGGCCAGCCCACTATGAGACATGGCATCCCTCACTGACCCATAGTGCTACGGGGAAGACAACACTGGAGACACAGTGCGGGAATTGAACCCAATCTGACCCCACCATGCTGAGGTGAAACACTAAGGGTGTGCAACAAAACAGCAAGGGGAGCAGAACAACAAAGTCCCCAGGAAATACCAAAAAGTAGGCTTTGGGGCCAGGGCGTGGCACCTCATCAGACTCCACTGGAAAACCCTCCTAAAGGTCAATGAACAGACCTTGAACTATTTATAGGTTTTTCTTTTTTTGTCATTGGTTTTTGTTGTTTTGTTTTCTTTTGTTGCTTTGTTTTGCTGTGTCTTGTTTTTTTGTGCATATTATTATCTCT